TTTTTTATTTAAGCTAAATTAATACTCTAGCCTAGGGAAATTGGGGAAGATGGGAAATTTTGTATTCTTGTTGATGAAGCACTAGACGACTCTAAGAAGGAACAAATGGCTATTATCATAAGGTTTGTTGGTTGTGATGGGCATATTCAAGAAAGGTTTTTTGATATTGTGAGTGTTCATGATACTAACTCCCCAAGAATATTGATGGGCATATTCAAGAAAGGATCGCATTCAAGCCTTCAAGAATATTGATTCCATCCCTATATTACTTGAGCGCTTAATTGAGACAAAATTAGCAGAAACATACTACTTGATTGACAGATTGATTCGTTTGGTGCTAACTCTTCCTGTGTCTACAGCAACAACAGAACGAGCATTTTCATGTATGAGACTTATTAAAAATCGACTTCGGAATAAGATAGGTGATGAGTTTCTTGCTGATTGTATGCTACTTCATATTGAAAGAGAATTAGCTGATAATATAGATAATGAATCAATAATTGGTGATTTTAATGCTGTGAAGACTCGAAGGGTGCAACTTATATAAGTGCTATTTAAGGGGTAAGGCTCATTATGTCCCCCCCATATATTTTTTTGTTATCAATGAAATTTACTCGTACCGTTGAGTTTTCAATATGTTTGTACATAAGGTAAATTTAGCCCATGCCATTTTGAAATCCTGGGTCCGTCCCTGGATAGATGCCGACAAATAATATTGATGAAGTGAACCCATTATACCCACACACAACGCACTTTTTATTCTAAATACAGCAATTTTCATGTAACTTTCGATTGTACAAAAAGAATATATAAACGTATTTATGTTTTCTTGGTAAATAAGAAGGACACTCTTATCTTAGCTTCTTCTTTCTTTTATTAATTTCCTCTTTTTAAATAGGAATATTTGATGCTTCTCATTCTCAAGCAAACTAAAATAAAAAAGAGAAAAAGCCAACAATAAGGGACCCAAGTTAAAATTTGCCCTTTAATCTTACTGCATCTAATTCGTCGTGTAGCAAATCATAGCATCTAATCCCCAAAAGGCCAAAGCCTAACCGCATGAAAATCACGTAAGAGAATTTGTACATTAGTGAAGAAGAAGAAGAAGAGGCTTTTTCTTTTCTTTTATTTTTTTATTTTAAAAAAACTTGTTTTTTGGTAGTTTATTATTAAGAAGACACATTTGTGTTGTTAATAATTATTATTTTGTTGTTAAGGCGGCCAAAGCTGCCCGCATTTGCTGTTGTTTAGTTGTTGCTTGTTATGGATAATGAGCAGAAGCTCAAGGCCATGGCAGAGAGAGAGAGAGCAGCTTCAACGGGAAGGGCAATAAGGTCTTTTCGATGTTGTTTAGCTGTTGCTGTTGGGCCTCGTGAGTCGACACCTCTCATTTACTTCTGCAACGGGCGACGTCAGAAATCTAGGCTTTTATTCCCTTTTTTTTCCCCTTCTAATCTCTCTCTTTGTTTCTTTTCTTTCCTTTTCTTTTTTGTCATTTTTCTTAGGTAGGTTGCTTGCTTAATGTATGGGTTTCACCTCTCGTTTTATTCTGATCTTTTCGGGGCTGCGTACCCGTGTGGTTTCTGTTTGTAATTGAACTCTTTCTGTGTTAAAAAAGAACAAAAAAAACTGCATGCTGTCCTTTGAAATCATGCAACTTTAAAATAGGAAACTGAGCTAAATTTTCAAAGGAGCAGAGGTTAATTTTGAAAGGAAGTAATGAAAATGGATTGGTTAACTTTTGGGTAAGTCTTCCAAGGCTGCCAATAATAAAGAAGAAAGTAAAAGAATTTGTGCAATATCCTACTATGATAAGTATCAAAATGGTTAGCAATAGACGTGATGGAACAACTCACCTATAAACTATGTGTACATATATGTATATATTTCATTATTAAATATATGGTATACGGCTTATTAATTTATCATTTCTTAAATTTAGGGTTTAGGACGTGTACGAAAAATGGAAGTATTATTGAAAAATATGTACATACATATATAATACGAGTATTAAACTGGAAAATGCTAAATTCTTTATATAGGTAATAATCTCTAGAAAAGTACAAAATTAAAAGGGGACAATAGAGACTCAGGTAATGGCCTAATAGTAATGGATAATGCTCTAAACTACTCTTATCGTAAAGAAAAATCAGGGACAAAAATTATGAAAAAAAAGGATGTCAATATATATTTAAAGTGTATAACCGCGCGTCTATACTATTATTAAAAAAATAATTTAAAAAGGACCCCAGTATAGGTGCGCGGCTATACTTTTTAAATATATTTTATTCACAAGGTATAGCCGCGCTGCTAGACTATTTACAAAAAAAAAAGTTACCTAGTATAGTCACCCGGCTATTTCTTTTTTTATTTTTTTAAAAAGGACCCACCTAGTGGCAAGGCGGCCTTTTCGCTGCTAGACTATTTAAAAAAAAAAAAGTTACCTAGTATAATCACCCGGCTATTTCTTTTTTTCTTTTTTTAAAAAGGACCCACCTAGTGGCAAGGCAGCCTTTTTTTAACGAGTATAGCTGCGTGGCTATACTATTAATTTAGAAAAAAAATTAAAAAGTACTGCAGTATAGCCGCTCGGCTATACTATATAAATAGCATATTTCATAAGTATAGCCGCACGGCGTTAAGCTATAAATAGAATTTTTTAACAGTATTGCCGCGCGGCTCTACTTTATAAATAGAATTTTTTTAGAGTATAACCGCGTTGCTATACTCTAGCATATTTCATAAGTACACCCACTCGCTATACTCTATAAATAGATTTTTTATTTTATTTTATAAAAGTGTAGCCATCGGCAATACATATTAAATAACATAATATGAATTTCTCTTTATTAATTACTTTAATTAGTAGTTATGTTTTAATTATTACTAGCCTCTCTGCATGCACTTCCGCGCCTGCGAGAGGCTTTTTAAAAGAAAAAATTAAATTTATTTTAAAATAAAAAAAGATAATGGGTAATTGTGTTCCATAAAAAGAGGATTCATTATCTGATTTTTCTTTTAATTTTAAATTTTTTTAATATGAAAAAGTGTAAATTTACCATATTATCCTCACTTAATTAATAATTTCAATTCTTAATGTTTGCATTAACCAAGGACATTTTCTGGTATTTTGAATGTTTCACCATTCTCTGCCTTTTGCTTTATATATATAGATTTACTTAGTGAATAATTTTTACTTAAATACTTTAACATATTTTATTTTATTTGAATAATATGTGAATTTTTTGGTCTAGAATAAAGGTATAGCCGATCGCCTGTACTGTAGAAGTAGAATTTGTTAAAAGTATCTCCACCCGGCTTTACGTTACAAACATAATTTTTTAAAAATGTATAGCCGCTCGGCTATACTGTATAAATACCATATTTCACAAGTATAGCAACACGGCCTTACTCTAAAATAGAAGTTCTAAACAGTTTAGCCGTGCGGCTATCTGCATAAATAGCATATTTCACAAGTATAGCCGCGCGGTGTTACTCTAAAATAGAAGTTTTAAACGTATAGCCGCGCGGCTGTACTCTAAACGTATAGCCGCTTGGGCGGAACCAAGAATTTTTCGACCGGTGGGCTAGCTAATTTTTTTAACTAAAATAAAACTATGCATTAAATCATATAAACCATGCTAATAGTGTACATTAAATCAAATAAAAGTATAAACCACGCAAAGTATGCTAATAGTGTACATTAAATCAAATCCTCCATACATCTTTCACACGTATTATGTGATGAATATGGACCTCCAACATGAGTCAATAATACACAATTCTTTCCATCATCAACTCTTTTCCAATTATTAAAACCCTCAGTAGTTAATGCAGGACGACCATTACCAAAAACAAAACATGGAAAACAATAGACTTTATCTTCTGAAGGGGAATATTCTAACCATGGAAATTGGAAGAACCAAGAATATTGAAATCGACGATATTGCGACCCAAACTGAGACCTTGGATATTCTGACAATTTTGGTTGGTAAGGTCCAACTTTAATATAAGCACGTCGAACCTCATCACGTTGATTAATATGGTATTTAGATATTTGAATACGTTTCCCAGGGTCTCGTTCCAAAAAAGCAACATCAAACTGGTTGGGTTCAACTATGGGAGATGCGTGATGAGGTGATTCAATTGATGGTGAAGCCTTATCATTGAATGTAGAAGCCTTATCAT